TAGACGTGGTAGAGGAGGTCGAGAGCAAGGACGCGGTAAAAGGTGGCAGAAAAAGGTGAATAATCCCAAATCAGTGGTAAGTCGTCGGAACATTAGGGGTAATGAGAATTTGAGTCAAGGGTTGAGAACTGTGGGAAAACGAACGCAGGGACAAGGGAGTGGACGGGGTCGCCGAACTGTTAGAAAGAGGAGAATGAAGAACAGGGCTGTTGAGGAGACACCTCTGGGCCGTATGAGTGACATACGCAGCAGCCCTGAGAGTGGAGGAGAATCGCCAAGAAACTTGGCTGAGGAATGGGATGATGAAAAGATTGATATGAAAGGTGACGAGCAAGGAGAGGGATATGAACAAGGAGAGTTGGAAGAGGGATATGAACAAGGAGAGTTAGGAGAGGGATATGAACAAGGAGAGTTAGGAGAGGGATATGAACAAGGAGGCGCATTGGAATCTGAAGACGACGAACAAGCAGTGGGATATGAACAAGGTAACTGGGAAATTGGGTTTGATGGGACTTCCAGCGGATGGAACAGGGGTTTAGTAGAAGCTAGTGACAACGATTTGGATACTTCTGAAGATGACAATAACGTCATGGAAGAAGTGAGAGATGAAGATTCAGAAGGGGATGTAGATGTCGATATGAGTGATGCCTCAGATGAAATGCCAAATGCGATGAGAAACGATGATGGCACAGAGTCGGAAAGTTCAGATGACTATAGTGAATGAAGATCGAAATATGAACTGCCTCTGCGCAACCGAGGTACCCTGGCTGCATACAGTTTTAGATAATGCAGCTTTACTAGCTGCTCGTCTCATCCTGGTGACGGAAATCAATATCGGCCTCCCCAAATCTTGATTTTTGCTATTATAATTATTAGATTAACATTTCCATTTTATGGATTAAATTGCTAAGTGGAAGTGTATGGATAGAGGATACTGGTTTAGGTCATTAAGCGTGTAACAAAACCATTTATTTACCTAATCAAAAGGTGAGCAAGTTACTTATAGCGCAAGAAACACATGTTCTTGTATTTTTAGTTTGTCAAATGCCAAGGAGATTCTTTCAAAAGTCAAAAACCATTCCTTCAAACATCACTTGTGCTTGCACACACTCACTTTATATCTCAAGAATCTCTCTCAATTTAGTCGTCGAATCAATTTTCAAGCAATTTAGTCGTCGGATCAATTTTCAAGCGTCAGATGTAAAGACAGAAATTAAAAGATGAAATTCAGATGAGACTCAAAGCTTTATTCTCTGCTTTCATAAGAGCTAGAATCGCTCAGTGTACTATTGGACAAAACAAATGTTTAACCTTACAAAGACAAACTATTAATACAAAGATCCCAGCCATCCAAAAAATATACACAAGCGACCTTAGATTCGCATAGCACATCGGCTCGAATTCTGATCAAGCCGGCAAGCATTTCTTAATTCCGGCCTTCTGTTCGGCATTCAATCTTGTCGGAAACTTGATGTTGAATTTAATTCTGAGGTTACCCTTCTTGGAGGGGTCTTTCGGTACGGGCATTCCTTCCCTAGGGACTACCTCCTCATAGTCTGGGCTAATCACATTGTTGATGGGGATGGTGAGGCTCCTTCCATCTAGGGTGGTCAGGCGGACAGTGTAGCCTGTTAGAGCTTCTGCTAGAGTAATCCTCTGTGTGACAATAAGATCGTTCCCATCCCTTGTGAATGTGCTGTGTGGTTTCTCATCGATTATGAACACAAGATCCGCAGGAGTTATGTTTCCTTGCTCGTTCCCTTTCTCCGGGAAGGTGATTTTGGTTCCCTTTTTCCAGCCAGGCTTGATTTCTATGGTTAGTATTTCCTCCACCTGCATGGTCTTCCTGCGTAACATAATTCGAACACATTCCTTTACTAGTACATTCAAAAGATGAGAACACAAAATACACAACACGCAAAACTAGCCTTCTTTTCTCCCAACAGACATTCTAAACTATTCTAATCTACGGAAAGAGAAAGTCAAACTCGAGTGCAAGAAGGCGGCAACCCTGCCATCTAACCTAACTCACATCGGCTACATGAAACTAACATTAGAAAGCAGTCAAAAGCTGACACTGTTGAAATTGGTGAATAATTAATCACAAGCACCTACTTTTTCTACAGGAAAGTGAGTAAATCAAGGGATAATCAACGAACATGACTAATTGTGCCAAAGGAGAAAAAGATGGGCGGAAATCGTTTTCCTTGTATAAATTGAGTAAGAATTAGGAACTTACCCGCTTGCATCTGCGATTTCCCTCGAAATCTTCATCTTCTTGGTAGTCCCCTTGTACAGCTCCTCAAGGCTACAAGGCAGCCTCTTCTCTATAGGTGGAGCTTTTCGTGGCGCATGACTCATGGGCCGGCCTTCTCCGAATGAACTAAACACGTCCTCCCCAAACATTCCACCAAAAGACCTTCCACCCCTCATGCCGCCACCGCTCATTCCGCCGCCCATTCCACCCGTGGGCCTCGAGAACCCAAAGAAATCAGCAAAAATGTCGTCGGCGTTTCTGGGGTTGAATCTAAACACATTTGGACCGTCCCCGGTTTGGAAGAAGGTAGCTCCACCACCAGGCCCACCGGCATCCGGCGGCGGCACTTGGCCTTTCAGTCCTTCTTCTCCGTATTGATCATAAATTGCTCTTTTCTGGGGATCACTCAGAACCTACAAAATAAAAACACAAAAAATCAGATTCCAGGTTCTGGGTTTTATTTATAGTCTCCAAAAACGTGCAAAGATTGAATTTTTAGTTTTAAAAAAGTGTTCCTGTATAAATCTACAAAACGTGAGAAGATTGAATTTTTATGCCGTTTGAGGAATTTTTAGATGAAAAAAAGGGGCAATTTAGCTTCGAAATCCAAAACCCAGATGAAAAACTTTCTCTTATCAGATTAAAAACACACTAATTTCAACCGAAATCAATAGAAATTCTTCAAAAAAAGAAAAAAAAAGAGAAGAAAAAACAGAGTGAAGGAAGAAAAGTGTAAGGAAAACGAACCTCGTAGGCCTCAGAGATCTGTTTGAACTTGGACTCGGCTTCCTTCTTGTTGGTGGGGTTCTTATCAGGGTGCCACTTCATGGCGAGCTTTCTGTAAGCTTTCTTCAAATCGTCGTCGCTGGCGTTCTTGTCCACCTGCAGAAGCTTGTAGTAATCCACACCCATCTCTTCTTCTTCTTTTTTTCTCCTTGTGTTTGCCTTGCAATTATTATTATCGTCCTGCAAAAAGCTTTGCCAATGGCTCGAGCGCTTGAAGGCTGTGAAAATTTATATCGGAAGATGCCTTGAGATTATTTGACGAACATGGGATGTGGAAGGGAATAGAGACCTACTTGTGGAAGGAACCAGAGTGGTGTGGAACTTTCGAGATAAAGTTCACACTGTCCAGTTTTGTTTGTAAATAATGACGTGGTACCGCAAATTCTGTTGGGTCAAATTTGGTGAATCCTGATCCTCGTTGTAAGGATCACGATGATATTTGAATCGTGTCCGTTTATCGTATATTATATGGTAAAAAATTACTTTAAATATTTTTATTTAAAATTAAACACAAACAGTATTTGATAAAAACTGATCGCAAGATGTACAATGAACGAACACGATTTATGGATCCTGTTGGAAATTTGCTACCCATATAAAAGGCCGGAAACCCAAAAGTTTCAAATTTTTTTTTTTTAACAAATGATATTATCTATAGTATAGAGTGAGGGTGAGTTTAGCCTCACAATTGACTAGTAACGATGTGGTTAAAATTCTCCTTTGACAAGAATCGAATCTAAAATAGTTCACTTACAAACAAGTGAAAATGAAACCCAAGGTTTCAATTTGAAGTTGGCCAACAGAAAAAAGACAAAGCACAAAGGAGGCATGAGGAGGAAGGGAATGTTGTGTGCCTCAGATTGTGTTTTGGAATCTGAGGCACTAGAGTGCCACGCCAGTGTCTGAGACGTAGCTGGGTATGAAAAGCTGCTTGTGTTGTAATAATATGTGTAATTCTTTTTTTGCTTCATTTTGTATTATGGGTGTGAAATATTAAAATAATTAAATTTTCGTATTATGTAAATTGCTCTCGATAATGTGACGGTGTGGAGGTGGCTTTGCAATGTGTGTACCAATTACGATTTGCTTGATCATCTTGTTTTGCCCTTGGCCAAAACCAATGAAGATTGCCTTTTTATCTAGAAAGTTTTAACGAAAAGTCTGCGGTACTGTTTATTTTAACGAAACATTATATTTTTACACTAAAAAGTCAATCATGTACTATTCACTTTACCTTTTATTTTGTCTTTATCGTTAAAACTCAAAGTTTTTAAGTTCTTTTCATTAGTTTTCCTTTTTATCTACGCATCTACACGATTCATCAATCCCATTGCTCATTGGATCTAATGTCAAAGATCCATTTAATTAATTATTATGCAATCATCTCCTTCAACTCCAAAAACAATATTTATAATCTAACTTTTTGTAAGTGGTCCTGGACTCTGGGCAAAGAGTTTAATACTTGACAGTTAGGCTTGTTCCTAAAAAAAATTGTTTATTCTAAAATCACTTTTAGTAATTTAAAATCACTTCTCAATCAAGCTCAGTCTCATTGCAATTTTGTATCATTTCGATTCTTTTACTAAGTATTGTTTTTTGGGTAAAACTTTCATTTTCTTCTTGGGGATGAGTTCATTTTTTTCTCGCGAATAACGTATCTTCATCGTACAAATTTTATAATCAGAATAGTTCAATTTCTTTACATTCATTTGAATGTCACTCCTATAAAAAAATCCATTTCAATGACAAATTATTTAGTCATTCAAATGTATAGAACAAATCAACAGTTTATGTACTAAGTAATATATTCATGATGAATCGTTTATTTATTTGATGACAACCGGCAAGAAATAACGAAACCTCACCATAAACACATGAGGTCGTCCACTTGCTATCCTCACCCTTCCCCATCCAAAATCGAAAAGTCCAAAAACCCCTTTTTCCTACCATCACGGCCGTTCACTCACAGACTCCCTGTGATTGCACTCAAAGCTCCCTCCTTCGTCGTCTACCTCTAGACACCCCAACCTCTCTCTCTCCTCCATCCCTCTCTCTCTACACTCGAATGCGATCTCTGCAAACACCCGAGTTCTACAATGTCGACGATATCGTCACAATTTCTCCCCATCAATGACCAACCGAAGCTCGCACTCTCATCTTCCGCCTCTCCGCTCCCTCCATTTCCCCAACATTCTCGAACCTCCTCGAGACCACGGCGATCTTCGGTTCCCTACACCCGTACTCGTGTCGCAAAACCGATACACGCCTCCGCCGCCCAACCGCCCTCCGCCACGTCGTCAGTCACGGTCGAAATCCCAGAGTCCGAATCCGACCCGTCCGCCACGGTCTTCGTGATCCGGGCCCGGAACCGCATCGGCCTCCTCCAGGTCATCACCCGCGTCTTCAAAGTCCTCGGCCTCCACGTCGACAAGGCTACCGTCGAATTCGAGGGTGAATACTTCGTAAAGCGGTTCTTCGTCACCGATTCCCGCGGCGCGAAGATCAGCGACCCGGAGAGCCTCGAGCGGATCAAGAATGCCCTGGCGGAGGCCATTGAGGACGGCGGTTCGGTCTCGGTTGGTCCCACGAGTCCCACCACGAGGGGCGTCGTAGTCCGCCGTCCAGGGTCGGGTCTAGGCCTGACATTTGGCTCGGACGGCGCCAAGGCCGAGAGGATGTTCGCGCTAATGGATGGGTTCTTGAAAAATGACTCAATTAGCCTTCAGAAGGACATTCTTCGTCACGTTGAGTACACAGTGGCCAGGTCCCGCTTCAGCTTCGATGACTTTGAGGCTTATCAGGTAATGTCACTTGAAAATTTGTAGTCTTTTGGCTTAATTTTCCGTTTATTTTGATCTAGCAGCTTCCAAATTTGGCATAAGAGTTTTTGGCGGGAAAAGTTCTTCACTTTTCATTGTTTATGATTTTGTTTTGATTTGGGTTTTCTGAGTTTTGTTAAAGTTAATCAAATGTGTATTTATTTAATTTATGGATATTTTGAAGGCTCTAGCGCATAGTGTGAGAGACCGGCTGATCGAGCGTTCGCATGATACTCAACTTTACTTCAAGAGGAAAGACCCTAAGCGCGTATACTTCCTCTCGCTTGAGTTTCTTATGGGTATTATTTGTGTACTTCAATTGGAGTTGCTTTATCCAATCTGTGCACTTTTGCTGATGCTACTGTCTGGCCACGGATAGATTAATCTTGCAGTGATGTGACTTGTAGTTTTTCATGAGTTCCCAATTCAAGTGCTGTATGTATCTGTTTGATGTAGCTTCTGGCTTGCTCTACTGAAATATTATTGTTATTGAGCTGTCAGGTCGTTCCTTGTCGAATAGTGTCATCAACCTTGGCATTCGGGACCAATATGCAGATGCTTTAAGCCAGCTTGGCTTTGAGTTTGAAGTTTTGGCAGAGCAGGTCAGCATGCCCACCTTTTTTTTTTTTTTTTCTTTCTGTTTTGTATGCTTTTCTTTTCTTCGTAAATCTCTTATTTGAAAAATTATTCCGGTGAATCCACGACATTGCTTTTTGACTACCCTACTTTGTTTCTTATATTAATGGGTGGAACAACTTTCCTCTAGAGTTTTATGGACAACCCCCTTTTTATGGAATTTATACTTTAGTCTTCTTTTGGATAAGTCTTTTTTCCCCTGATATTTCAAGGAAGGAGATGCTGCCCTTGGTAATGGTGGCTTAGCCCGTCTTTCAGCTTGTCAAATGGATTCTATGGCAACTCTGGACTATCCTGCATGGGGGTATGTCGACTCTCTATTACCATATACTAATCTTATACGGTAATACCTCCATTGAAGTTTTGTCATTTAATAATAGGATGACGAGGCCCTTTTAGCTCTTTGGTCTCTTTCCTTCTCCAAGACTTGGAAGTCTAGGGAAGGGACTCAGGGAGGGTTACCTCTATTGTATGTACTGTAATTCCCATCCCATTCGATAAAGAAATGCAGCAGACATGATTCATTGCAGTTTTTTATTAGAATAGAAACACTCTCTGGAGAAACCAACAAACGATTGATCCAATAGGAAGTGCTTTTATGTGCCTCACTTGTCCTATAAGTTAACGGTTTTGACAACTGAACTTGTTCATTAGTACAAAAATTCCACGCCAGTTTTATTATGGAACTAGTTATTTGTCAACAGTTTATTACGTGGAATGTAATTTATGATGTTGCATATTTGATTTTCAGTTACGGACTACGTTACGAATATGGATTATTCCGCCAGGTCATACTAGATGGCTTCCAACATGAACAACCTGATTTCTGGTTAAACTTTGGAAATCCTTGGGAGACAGAGCGGGTTCATGTAACGTATCCAGTAAAGGTATTGTCTTGATATCCATCATATCACCTAAAACTTAACCTAAAACCTCCAAAGCTTTACTAATTGTTCTTATTATTATGTAAATGGATAAGTTCTATGGGGTCGTTGAGGAGGAAAATCTGAATGGAGAAAAACGTAATATTTGGACCCCTGGAGAAGTGGTAAGACAATAAACTCCATTACATAGTTAAGGCTGCATTCTTCTACAAATCTTTCAATATTGTTTGTTTTATATATGCAAAATGGTTTGCATCTTGTAAACATGATGAATATAATTGGTTATTTCAGCTTAGTGGTTTGTCTCCACACTGCTAGGTAGAAGCTGTGGCTTATGATAATCCTATACCTGGTTACGGAACAAGGAATACCATTACTCTCCGTTTATGGGCCGGAAAGCCAAGTGATCAACATGATATGGTAAGTTTGTACTAACGTTAAACATTATGCATTTCCGGACATGCATTTTCAATATCTTTGTCTCCAATTATTTTACACAGTTCAATAGAATCCATCTCTTGCCTCCTAGAAATTTTAGGTGTGATTAACTTTTCTATGTAATACTCCGTGTATGCAGGAAGCTTATAATACTGGAGATTACATCAATGCTGTTGTTAGTAGACAGAAAGCAGAAAATATAAGTAGTGTTTTGTACCCTGATGACCGTTCTTTTCAGGTTTGCTGGTTTCTTCTTAATGTGGTCATTTGGTATTTATTGCTTATTTAAAATGTATTTTTAAAATATATAGTATAGCATTCGAAAGATGGTGTGTTCATCCAGAAACTCGCTACCTTCAATGAGTTGAAGATTTTCTATTCTGCTTATCGTTAAGGTTTTTGTACATTCCAGGACAGTTTATCAACATATTGTCATCTAGCATTCTGTATAAGAATTCTCTAGGCAGGTTGAATACTCAAACGTAAGGGATTGGGAAATCATGTTTACTTATTTGAAGAAGAAGATGAACAGAAACATGGTTTTATAGTTATTGTTCTTTTGTTTTATCTGCATGTTTTTGAATGTTTAGTCTCTTCAATGTTTGGAATAAAAGTCATCTACTCAGCTACCCACTCAATTTTCCAAGTGAATGACTCATGTCATTTTTAGTTTATTGTTGTTTGGTATGTAGTAATATTGCCTTTTCACTTTGCCCTATCTTACAGGGGAAGGAACTGCGGTTGAAACAACAATATTTCTTTGTCTCTGCATCCATACAAGACATTATTCGGAGGTTTAAAGATGGTCACAGTAACTTTGATGAATTTCCAGAAAAGGTTTATATCTCAGTACCATGTGTTTTATCATATTTTGATTTGTAAGGAATAGAGAATATATCACCCAATCTGGTGGCTTATTTCATGATGCCAGTGTTTTTACTCATCATTTGACATTATTGTTTTAGCCACAATTAATAAAAGGATAACTTTACTTTTCCTTTGGCGTATTGGGAATTCTTACTGATACGGTTATTCAGGTTTGCTTTTCTGTTCGTCATTTTTATTGGCTCATTTTTCCTTGTCTTAATTAGGTTGCTCTGCAGCTGAATGATACTCACCCATCTCTTGCAATAGCTGAGGTTATGAGAGTGCTTGTTGATGAAGAGAATTTGGGTTGGAATAAAGCATGGGACATTGCTTGCAAAATCTTTTCATTCACAATACACGCAGTAATTGCTGAAGGGTTGGAGAAAATCCCTGTTGATTTACTGGGCAGTCTTCTCCCACGTCATTTACAAGTGCGATTCTAACGAGTCTCCGATAACTCTGAATTTCTTCTTATTCTTGTTCTCCAGTAACTCTTACCTGGCAGCTTTTACACACACACACACACGTTTATGTAACAAGATGAGTGGTATGCTAGTCTTTGGAAATACTAAATCCATTTTTACAACAGTTCATCTTTACTTTTAGAGTTCCCTTTCCATCAGATTGCTAGACTTTTTCCTTAGAACCTAATTGTAATTTCCCATTGAATTATCTACTCAATAGCCAGTATCTTATGGAACTATTATCTTCTCACTTAAATAATTGCGATAAACTTTTTGTTGCTCCAGATTATATATGACATAAACTTTAAGTTTGTGGAAGAGCTGAAGAAGAGGATTGGTTTAGATTACAATCGGCTGTCCCGGATGTCAATTGTTGAGGAAGGTTCTACAAAGGTATGCCTAAAATCATATTATCTTGTAATTCATTGGATATTTGAATGTGCTCTTCTGGTAGATATATGATTCTGGTCTTACAACCGTGGTTGACGTCCGGTATTATCTGTAGTCTTTTGTATACTATAGTCTATCGATTAAACCATTGTGCTTATTCTTATGGTCATATAGTGTAATCCTGTGCATCATCCTCTTTTAAATGATGACATAATGTACCTTTGGTTTCTTTCTTTCACTTTTAAAACTACATTCTTAGGTGTTTATTAATTTTCAGTGATTTTAAGCATTCTTTGGTCCGATGAGAAAAATGTTGGGCAATTTGACCGTTAATTACCATTTGAGTTGACAGAGTATCCGAATGGCAAATCTGGCAATTGTATGCTCCCATACTGTGAATGGTGTTTCCAACGTACATTCAGAATTATTAAAAACAAAGTTATTCAAGGTAATATGTGTTCCTTGCCTCAGTTCATTTTCCCCTTGACTTATGATCCAGTTGAAGATGTTCAAACTTCTTATATACCTTAAATTAGGTCATCTGACACCTCTTTTGTTTCACAGGACTTTTATGAGTTGTGGCCTGAGAAATTTCAGTGCAAGACTAATGGTGTTACCCAGGTATGAAGTTCATAACATCTACAAATTCTATGCAAGACTAATGATGTGATTATATTGAAAAACATTTCTCACGGCTCATAATATATTCAAAGGTTGCTCTAATGATGCACTGATGCGTCACGGGTTCATAGTTAAACATTGAATGTAGCATATAGTTTATGTATGCATGCATGCGATAATGTACTGACATTGATTTCACAGCGTCGCTGGATTGTAGTGAGTAACCCTAGCCTGTGTGCTCTTATCTCAAAATGGCTTGGAACAGAAGCTTGGATTCGTGATGTTGACCTTCTAACTGGCTTGCGTGAGTATGCAGCAGATGCTGACCTTCAACAAGAATGGATGATGGTACTCTTGGCTTGATATTTGTGCAGCTGCTTAGGAACCGAAAACCTATTATGGCTTTGTCTTCTTTTTTATTTTAATTCTATATATTATCATGTTGCAGGTTAAGAAGGTTAACAAAATGAGGCTTGCTGAGTACATTGAAGCAATGAGTGGTGTGAAGGTTGGTTTGATGACAAGTTCTTAGAACTTCTATCCAATTCATTTTTTTCTCTCTTTTGTTGAGAAGGTTGCCAAGCTTCCCTGTGATCTTACATGTGCATTTTATCAATTCCAACTGCAGGTTAGTTTAGATGCAATGTTTGATGTGCAGACAAAGCGAATACACGAGTACAAACGACAGTTGCTGAATATACTTGGCATTATCCATCGATATGATTGTATCAAGGTGAAGATGGTTTTCTAGGGCAAAGGACATTATATTCCATGCTATATTCTTAGAACTTATTAACCAAGCAGCACCTTATATCTTCTAAAGGGAGCTATCCTTACCCTCCCTCCAGCAATTGTGCATGCCTATTTTCATCTTTTTGTCACAGTAAACTATAAGTTTAGCACTTTGCTGCAGAACATGGAGAAAAGTCAACGGAATAAGGTTGTGCCTCGTGTTTGTATTATTGGAGGAAAAGCTGCTCCTGGTTATGAAATTGCAAAGAAGATTATCAAACTTTGTCATGCTGTAGCAGAAAAAATAAATAATGATGATGATGTTGGCGATCTGTTAAAACTGGTAAGAGAGAGAATTCTGTATCCCTCTGTGTGTTCCTATCCTTCTTGTTTTGTACAAGTATTTGAGGGAACTAACATAAGATAGTCTCTGGTCTTTGCACTCTACATATGGATATTGTTATCTGTTATTCTGATGCAATTTCTCTGTTATTTCAGGTTTTCATTCCTGATTATAATGTATCGGTTGCTGAATTGGTAATACCCGGGGCTGACCTTTCACAACACCTAAGGTCTGTAAACTTTGCAGCATGTTGATTAAATTGATTTGACGAAACCCCAAAAACACAGCCTTTTAAAATACTATGCAGAGTTTCTTGCCAAACTTCAATTTTATAGCGCTTTTCGTAATGATATCTCAACATTACGGTTCAAGCGACTTCCATTTAACAGTACAGTATAGCTCAATGACAAGATATTTAGACTATTATCTACCTCACCATGGTTTTCAATTAAGATCTTGCTATTTTGCTTGTGTGCCTAATAGTCATGTTGATGGTAAGGAGGTACATATGCATATTCCCTCTTGCATGGTCATCATCCAAAGCTCTACCGTCTGGAAATTCTGTAGTCTCTAGTATGCATATGCATCGAATAATATGCAACAATTCCTTTGCAGCACCGCAGGACATGAAGCGTCTGGAACCGGAAGCATGAAGTTTCTTATGAATGGCTGTTTACTCTTAGCTACAGAAGATGGCTCTACAGTTGAAATTGTTGAAGAAATAGGGGCAGACAACCTGGTAATTTTCGACATTCCCTAAAGATACCCAGCCAGCTTGATGTAGTTGGATTCAACTAATTGGGATGTCAAGTATTGTTAACCAACTGAAATTTTCTTTTCCTGCAACTGCAGTAAGACGGCATCTATGTGTTGACTATTTCGAGATTTTAGATCAGTTTATATTTGTTATCAGTATAGCAGAGATAATTCTCGTACAAATTTTCTTTCCCCAGTTTTTGTTTGGCGCAAAGATTGACGAAGTTCCCAAATTGCGAGAGGAAGGATCTGCTCAAAAAATGCCACTGCAATGTGCACGCGTTCTCAGGTAGGCCATTTCAATCACTTAAGCACTCTCAACTTAGCCAGTTAGCGATTTGTGTCAAGATTCTAATTTTGCTGTGGTATTTATTATGTGTAGGATGGTCCGAGATGGTCATTTCGGCTTTAAAGACTATTTCGAATCTCTTTGTGACAAGGTTGAGGGCAACGACTTCTATTTGCTTGGATCTGATTTCGAAAGCTATTTAGAGGCACAGGTAATGTGTTTGTGTTTTCTCGGCAGTCCCAAACCAACGCGTATACGCACATTTTGGTGTTTAATAACTTAATCTGGTGCATGGTATGAATCTGTATGACTACAGGCCGCTGCTGATAAAGCATTTGCGGATCCACAGAAGTGGACTCAGATGAGCATCCTTAGCACAGCCGGGTCTGGGAGATTCAGCAGCGATAGAACAATCCGAGACTACGCGGAGAAGACTTGGGGAGTTGAACCGTGCAGATTCCCTTCCGACGGCTAGCTCACCCTCACTCCCACCGTAGAAGCAACATTTTACCGATGTGAATCGGTGGTTAATAAGCTTGCTAATAACATCTATGTCGAGATATAGCGGTTTTGGCAGAGAGAGAGAGAGAGAGAGAGAGAGAGCTCTTATGCATATATTGCAACCGAAAATGTAATAACATAGGCTATAGCTTATATAGCCTCGCGAAAATAATTAATCCGTAAAGTTGGTAACTCACCGGTGGATACTTAAGTATTGTTCGGTTGAAGAAGAGCCAATTGACTTTGTAATGTGCCAATTGAATTGCTACTTTCGTTAAAGATGTGTTTTCCAATTTGGGGTAGCAAACCCATTTGCTACTTCGAATCATACGTAATGGATTTGGAAATGGCTAATATATTTTTAGTTAAAAAAATAGTGAATTTCAAGTGTATTTTTTTTTTTTTTTAATGGAGATCAACTGGTGATTTTGTCATGATAATTTAGTTTCTAGAGGCTGGAAAGATTTACATAGCATTTTAACCTCTTCTCGGCCATCATTATATAATTCATCAGTGTTAATAATCGAACTTAAAACATGAACTTGTTGTGTGAAATAAGGGTTTGAAGTCCGTTCTTAATTTTCATGTATTAATTTTAGAATATAATTTTATTCGATCAAAATACTTTTAAGTTTTTTATTTTTTATTTTTTTATTTCGACGTTTCTAGTAATATCGATGAAAGGGAATAGTAAGTCGTTGACATGTCGTTTCTTGCCACTCGACGGCGTTGCAACTGACGATTGACTGAAAGCCGAAACTAAAACAGTTATCGCTGCAAATTTCGAGAGATCGGGAAGCTCAAGCACTCAATCACTGATGACAAATTCAGTTCATCTGATTCCGTTGCTATTTCTATTTCCCGCCTTCTTCTCGTCGTCTCTCTTCGTTCTCTCCGAAACGACATGCTCGCCTCCCCACACCGCCGACGACGGCGGCCGCGACGGCAGCTCCCTCAGCCAGCTCCACCAATTCAACCTCAAGATCGCCCGCTTGGGTATTTAAGCTCACTTCGTGCTTCGCTTTCTCTTTATTTTCTTTAATTTGAGTGATTTGTTAGTTAATTCTTGCTTCTCAGCTGTTAATTTCGTTGTGCAGAGTCCATCTTAGCAGAAAGCATTCAGAATCTGAGCGAGAAGATAGTTCGTATCGAAGAGCGCGAGAAGCGCATTGACGAAATGTCGCAGAAGATCCATCACTTGCAATCTGTTTTATCCGCTCTTAAGGTTCGTTGTTTCCCGCTAAATTAAGCGAAATTATATCAGAAAGTTTAATTATGTATGAACGTTTAGCTGTATTTGCATATCTCAGGGCGATTCGATCCGTGCCGATGGAAGGATCAATGCTCTGGAAGAAGAGGTTTGCATTGCATTTTTCTAATTTGTTTTTGAAAATTTTCAATTCAGTGTGGGATTTGAGAATTAGGATTTGGAATGCTTATTTAGGTACGGATTCTATGGGAGGCGTCGAGAAAGTTAAACTTTGATCTTCATGTTTTGGAGTCTAAGGCACAGGATGCTGAGGATCAGCTCAAAACAGTTGCCTCTCAGGCTCGAAAGGTCACATATGATACACTGATATGCTTACTACAATCTTCGGTCTATGAGTATGGTGATCATTTTGCGATTGACTTCCTTGTCTTTGATTTTAGATGACCGACATTGTTACCGAACAATGGATTCAAATTCAGCGACTCGAGCAGGCTCTTTATATTACGCAGGTAAGCATTTCATAAGTTTTACCAAATGGATTTTGGTGGTTCACTAATATTTATTGGTTTAATCAGGTGAGGACTAAGAGGCTTCAAAGGGAAGTGAGCTCTGGAAAGTGCACATTCTTGAAGGTATGAGTCAGTGTGAAATATCACTGGAACTCAAACCCCATCACCACTGACAGCGTCAAGTCTTCTCAATGAATGGCATATTTTCCATTATACTTAATATAACTTCACATTAACCCATTGAATCTTATGGCATGCAGTTCATGAACAGGCTTTATGATGACCATCTGCTGAAGATGGTTGGGCCCAACTTGAGATCCTATTTCTCTCAAGCTCAGCATCAGTTGAAGAGAGTCTTTGAAGCAGTTAAAAGGTCTCACCACGAGGTCTGTACCGAATCTTTTTTTTAATTAGTATGTAGCAGCTGTAGGAAAAAGAATTTCCTTCAATGTTCTTATGAGGCCCCTGAGGCCATCCTGTGGAACACCGATATAACTTTCTGCCATTAAGTTTGAAGCTTTGTAGATTTGTAGATCCTGTGGCATATGTGATTATATAACTTAAATCTTTGAAGGTGTTGGGCTGTAAAGTTTTGTGAAACTTGCCCACATAACATTGTGGAATGCGGTCCTTTTTGTAAGCTCAGTCTGTAGGAAGTTGAATCAATCATTGATGGAGAAGCATGTCATGAGCCGATGAGCGTATGCTAAATAGTGGCTTTTCATTAGTTTGATGATCTATTCCTGCCCATCAGTAATCTCATTGAACAGCCTTTCTCACCATGCATCAAAAGGTTGCTGAGGACCGCTCCATTTTGTACTGCCACTTGTTGTCCCCTTAAGTATTTTTGTATAATAATTTAGAAATAATTAAGCACCTTTGCATTTTTTTTGCCCATGCGTGGCTTGGTGTTTATGGCCTAGGCAGTTTACACGCCCGATAAACAATTCTCATACAAGCATGTAAGGTTGTATAAAGTGAAAATATCATGTTTGCTTCGGTCGTTTATCCATTGTATGAGGTGGTCATATCACCTCATCATTTACCAGATACTTCTGCTTCAGTTGTTGTGCTAATCCATTCCTGAAAACCCTAACTTTGTTTACAGCAGTTGCAACATTTCATCAAAGACAAACTGGAAGAGAATGAATTTACCGCAGCCCTTGCCCACGAGGAATTAGTTTTCTTTATGGTATGTATTCGATCCTTTCCTCTTTAATATTTTTGTTCTCCTTTCTGGCACAGCTTTTTTCTGAAGAAATACATTCACGTCGAAGCATTTTCTTGTGATATTACCCTTAATCGATGTTGCTATTTTCCAGGCTTCTGCCGTAATTACCTTCCCGATTATGAGTGCTTGGATGCTGCTCTCATCAAAATTCCATTAGTTGAAACCGTTACAAGTACTGAACGAAAGAAATATTCGAGATTTTGATTACGTTCTAACAGGTAATTTTGATAGCTATTGTTTCCAAGAGCATTATATTGGCCTTAATTATAACATTTTACACATAGATCAATGCCTACAAGAGTGAATGTAACGATTACATAAACGAATCAAATGCCGAATTCTCTTTGTATAATATTTCAAAGACGTATCTGATGCAAGGGACTTGGAGGCTTGTAGCTCACGTGGTTAATAGCATTTACGTGTCATCGTCTTGTGTTCGAGTTTGACTTTCCTCTCTTTTCTGGTATTGCTTGTATCAAAAGAATCAGCCATTTAATAAATCGAATGCAAGTCCGACCAACTTGATCACCTTGGCCGTGAAGTTTAGAGACGCTGGGGAGAATTGAACAGACGGCCTCATGCGTAGGAGAGAAACTTTACCTATAACGGTAATGTTATTATGATGGTATCTCAAGTTACTCTTGCAACATAAAGTTGAGATACTGTCACGGTGTCACCATTACATACGTTTTTTCTGTGCAGAGCCACTTAGTACTATGATTTAGTTGTATTCTTCTTTTATTTATAAGTAAGACGTCTTAAGTTTAATTTTTGCCAAAAAGCAAATTCGAACTAAATTATCATAGCTAGGCTAGCTTATTGTTAGGCTTAATTTACACCGATTCCGCTCCTTAGTGTAGATAATATCGTAGTATGTTGAAAAAAAAAACACCATATATCCTGAAGATATTATAATCAAATTTCAAAGGTTTGCAAATCGTGAACACGTTTACCCTTAAGGTTTCGGGTCCATTTTTCGCTTTTTCTAGTATCGCTTGTATATAAAGTTCACAAAGAAATATAATATAATATAAATCTTACCACATTAAGAAACCTTTATTCTTTGCTAAAATGTGAACTACCCTTTTGGCCTCTCTCCCCAAGTCAACCTTATCTTTGCGATGGTAGAAGGATAAGCACCAAAACAATGGAGGACACCACATGGGAGCAAAAACTCAATGCCCTAACCCACATCCTAATCAACCCTACAACCGCACCATCTCCCCACTCCCAGCTCTTCATCGCCACCCAAATCCCCTGCTACCTCAACTGGGACTACCCTCCAATCCTCTGCACCAAATCCACCTTCCCTCCCATCCACCTCCAATTTGCCATCTCCCTCTTCCTCAAAAGGGTCTCCAGATTAGGGCTCCCCCAGACCTCCTGGAGGTCCAAGTGCCCTTACCAGCTGCCCCCGCCATTGGTCCTTGCAAAGGGCGTAGAGGAAGCTCAGTGGGGTGAGGAGCAGAGGATAGAGAGGTTTAGGAAGAGGATGAGGAGAAAACGACTTGGTAGTGATGTGAATCCTTTGCTTCCTATTTTGGTTCCCAATATGTTGTTGTTTTTTCTTCTTCTTTGGAACCCTAGTATCGAAAATTAGACAAATTTTAGGGTCAGAGGCTTCCGTGTCGCGTTATCCTTCACTCAAGACATACAAAGATTCCTGTATTCGGATCTGCCCACATGAATCCGTGTGGGATCCGAATACAGGGAGTTTTTCTTGTGTCTTGCGCGGATGCGTGACGCGACACGGAAATCTCTACCCTAAAAATTAAGTTGTACTTGGACTAGCTTAGCTAAAAGTGGTTCTTCTTAATTGTATCTTAATTTGTATCTGAGTTTCTGGGAATCTGTGTTTTATTTATGTTTTCGGGATGTATAAAAGAATGAATTTGTACTAGCTTAGCTTTCAGCTGAAATCAGTAGTCTTTACAGATATATGTGTTGTTTATCTTGAGCATTAGCTCCTCCACTTACTTTACAAAGCTACTCTGCAACAAAAAATTAAAATAAAAGAAGGGACATCAAGAAAAAAGTGAAGAAATACAATGGCAAGTAGAAATGGAGAATCTTTACCTGTTACTGGTTGTATATTTTATTGTGTTTATATATCTATGTCTATATAGTACGTTAGGAAGAATGAGAAAGATAAATGCGAAGATATACAACCGATTGCAAAATAATCTGTCTAAAACCACACTTTGAGATGAGAAAGAGAAACATAAACCCTATGGCGTGATGATATGAGAGTGATAGACACCCGGTTAGCAAAACGAATTCGGTCCTAAAGGCACACTGAGTAATTGAGATTCTCTTCGGATCTTTGTGTTGGGAGCCGACGGATTCAAAGATTCGGATCACTTATTTTAAATCATATTAACTCGTTAGCTCATTTAGTGGCTTACATCACACAAGCCAACAGTTTAGATCTCTCTTTTCCTTGAACAATCCGAATTTCTATATTCGTTGGCTCCAAACTTCAAGATCCGGACGGGATCTCGATCCCCTTAGAAGCACTAAAACTATGCGTCCGCCAATCACGCAACAGATTTCACATCATCCAAGAAAAAAGAAAAGTGTACTAAACATAAAGAAAAAGAAAAGGGGTTTTGGGAGCTTTGTCAAACACAAACGTTGACAGAAGCATGTTCCATTGTTTAATTATATTCCTTCCTCCTGAGTCAAGAGATGGTGGTAGTTGAGGAGGAAGGACCCTAATTTCCTCCCCAATGAGGAAGGAAGATGGAGGAAGAGAGAAAGGGGACTGATTGGCCCACCTTTGCATCAATCAGTTGCTTCAATCTGCAACTGCTGTAACCAAACACTGAAGACTTACTCTCACATGGCTACTCACATTAGTTGGCACACACCACTTACCACGCGCAAAACTTGAATACCAAATGTCATTGCCAATGTAGGTCACTGGTTTAAAGTCATTTAAAAAAAAAATGATTAGTTGGTGATTTCGTCAAGATAATCCACACTTTTGAGGTCGGAAAGATTGACAGAGACATTTCAACCTTTCTTTGGCCATCATGTGTGATTAGCCAATATCAAGAATCAAATTCAAGATATGCTGTGTTGAATACGGGTCTAGAATTCGTTCCTAACCGTTGGACTACCCAATGGTAGTTAAAGTCATTTTCTTTGTTGGTGTGGATAAGTTGAGTGCAGCTTACCTGCAACGGAGATATATTATATTTGTATATTTCTCACTTATGATCAGAAAAAAGTACATTCTCATTTCAGGTAAAATTTTTATCCGCTGGTCATTTACTCTAGAAAATCGAAATTAAGAAATCGAAGTTAAGTATGCAATGTTTAAATTTGAATTGGGTAACTACAGAAAATAAACTTACATAATGGGAAATGGGAAATCATCTATAGGTTAATTAAAGACATTGTGTGATTGCACCATTTGAGGCTGCTTTTTCAAAAGTTTTATTTACTGCTTTAAGACCAACCCTTTTTTCTGTCTTTATTTTCTGCCAGGAAGGTGCTAAATAGGCTTTTCTTTTTCTTCCTTTCTTTTGGCTTTGTGATACAAATTGACATGGTCCAGGGTTTTTGGTGGGGAAGGCAGAAGCTGGTGGTGCATATATTATCATGGACGAAGCTTCTTTTAACCTTCCACCCTTTTTTTTTTCCCTTAAAAATTCACCTGTAAAAATAATAAAATGTGACATAAATTGGAATTGAAGAAGATACAACCAACCACAAAAACTTCAATATCATCTTCTTCTTTTTTTCACTTTTTTCTAGTAATAATTTAATAATTTAAGAGTTGTTTGATAATCATTTCATTTCTAGTTTTTAGTTTTTGGTTTTCACTGTTTTGAAAACTGAAAACAGAAGCCTTGTTTGGTAACTACTTTTAGTTATAAAAAAAAAAATGAAAACTAAAAGTTGAAAAATTACTTTCTTGAGTTTTCAAAATTTGGCCTTGAGTTTTTACTTTTTGGTTTTCTATTTTCGTTTCTTTTTTTATTTTTTTGGAAATCTGAAAGTAGTTATCAAACAAGATTTCAGTTTCCTAAAAAGTGAAAAATAAAATAAAATAAGCGAAATGGTTATCAAATGCCCCTAACTAATAGATAAATGCAGTAGTTGGGATGTAAATATTAGCAGATGAGCCTGTTATGAAGTATATATCCATCTTCTAGTCACTATTTTTGGACCATATGACAGATGAGATTGTTACGAAGTATCCATCCATAATTAAGTCATTCGAGTTTTGTAGTTATGCAACTTAAATGACTAAATACAAAGTTAAATTGTAGAATCTAATATGACAATATTGCAAAACCAATCACGCACTGTCACGTTAATATCTATGAACGCGTGATTGACATACCATCACAATCACACTCACCTCCACCGTCAAGATTAGAACACGAATCAATCTTCACTGGCAGTAGTCTGCTTTTCCGATAAATTTGACCAAGCATACAAGTGCTGCGTGCACCATATGATATCATATGGTGTGTCTGCCCTACCAACTCCACAATCCACGCATAATTACACGGCCATATCAATGATGTCGATGTCATGCTTCTTCTTTGGCACGAGTTTGATGTCCTCCGGATCTAATTGTTCGGAACCTATAATTTGTAAATTCAAACTATTCAAATTAAATTTGATAGTCCTCATTAGCTTATTTCGTTGATCATCTCACACAAATCAAGGGTCCGAATCTCTCTCTCTCTTGAACAATCCAAATTTGTTAGTTTTTAATCTCTGAATAGTGAGATCCGAAGAGGTACTCAACTCTTCTGTCACCATTTGCATTTTTTTTCTTTTCCAAATGATCCTTTGTGAATTGTGATATTGCAATGCAGATTGCATCCTTTCTTCTTCTTTTTTTCCCTCAGCTTTAGGGAACATCATGAGCACCCTCAATTAAAGTTCACATTCCCTTACTAATTGTGTTAGCTGGGTTGTTGTTGTTCTCATTCATCTTATCATATAATCGACTTGCTTAGAATGAAAGAATAATCAATGGTCATAAGCAAATTTCTTTTAGCAAATGCTTATTACACCGTATTAAAGAAGAAAAACTTCGGTAGTGCTGTTGTACTAGTGCATTTCTCGCATTAACATGAGGTCGGGTGGACACTAAAATATAGAGAGAATTTATACTTTTGTGAGAAATATTTACAGATGACGTTATTGAGGTGTCTCTACTTAAGTTTTTCTCCTCTTATAAAACAAGTTCAGAGCTAAATGACAGGTTTTTGTAGATAAAATTAAAATGGAAACGTGGCTAATGGGGATGAGATCAATTTTTAACATGAATAATCGATGAAAGAGAGTCTAAAGCCAAACAATTTGAAATTAGATCATCTTCAGATCTCTACCTCAGGAGTAGATGGGCCTGAAAAATCAGGTCATTCGAGAGAGAGAGAGAGAGAGAGAGAGAGAGAGAGAGAGAGAGAGAGATAAGGAGATGAGGGTGTGAGTTTGTGTGTGAGGTAGGCCAGTAAAATAGGTTCATAGAACTGCAAAATTTAAATCAAATGATCTAAATTTTTTAATCCATTTGCTTTGGAGGCAAAGATTCGGAAATGATCTCATTGCAAACAATTCCAATAGTCTTAACAAAGAAAAAAAAAACTTACTAACTGGAAAAAGGAGCAAAGTGCTCAATTGTATCCAATGTGGGGACCAGAAACCATCACTCATCCTCCACCCCATTTTGCACCCAGTGAGTTGAAAAAATTGGTCGAGAAAAAGAAAAAGGTCCTCTATATAAACAATGCACTACCCACTACCTCTCCCTCCACTATAACACTCCCACACTTCTCACTTCACACTTCACAGCAGTTGCCTCCCACAACAATTGCCAATCATGGCTCCTCCTCCTACCAAATTCTTCTCTCTCCTCTTCCTCCTCTCTCTCATCCTCCTCTCTCTCCAAGCTCAAGCCAGAGACAGCCAATTCTTTAGCAAAGTCGCCAGCTCCAACAACAACAATGTGAAGGAATCAGAGCTCCCCAAAACAGAGTCCCCAAAAACAGAGACTCCAAAAACAGAGTCCCCTGTTTTCAATCCAGAAAAAGAGCAAGAGCCAACTTTCGTTCAAGAGACTCAAAACGGATACGGCCTCTACGGCCATGAGTCCGGCCAGCTTCCTCCTGCCACCTCCACCACTGGGACGGAGAAGCAGCACACTACAAACTACCCCGAAAGGTACAACACCCACTACAATCCCAACGAAAACAACTATTACAATGGGAACAACTTTGAGGCCAACCCTAATGGCCTCAGCGACACGAGGTTCGCTCAGAGCAGCTACACCACCACCACCGCCACCCCTAACAACCACCAGAACAACAATTTTGAGGCCAACCCTAATGGCCTCAGCGACACGAGGTTCGGTCAGAGCAGCTACACCACCACCACCGCCACCCCGAACAACTACCAGAACAACAAGTACTACAATTTTGAGAAGCAGGGGATGAGTGACACTAGGTTTTTGGAGAACGGCAAATATTACTACGACGCAAGAAGCGAGAGCAACTACAACCAGAACCAGTATGGAAACTCTAGGGTTGTGGACTCCAAAAACTGGTACAATAACAGGGGTAATAACGTCAACGGAAATGCGAATCAGAACACCTATAACACCATGGAAGAGTACCAGACCGAGGAGGAGCAACAGAGCGAAGATCAGTTCGTGCCATGAGACTTGTTTTGAGTAGTACCACTTTGCTGTGTTTTGATATGCATTTATGGTAATATGTTTAAGTGGCAAACAAAAGAACATGATTAAAGATAGATTATTGGTTTTTCTAATGTTTATTTATGATATATATTGTCTCTGTTTTTGCATAAAAATGCTTTAAGTGTTCATGCTTTGAGAAAGATCAAGTTTGTGGACTATGAAAGAGTCAATAAAATGTATACTAGCTTCTTGCTACAACAGATTTTAGTTGGTTTAGTTTGATTTGCAAATTTGGTTGGTGTTTTTATTGTATAAGAGCGTTTTTACAGGTGGTTAAGTTATGGACAACGTCGATATTAGACTAATGAGTAGTAGACCGCTAATTTGTCTCTTTGAAGGCTTAACAACGATTGAATTACCAGTAGACTAAATACCCAACGTTGCTTTTAAGTTTTCAATGTGGCTTAAGTTAATTTTCCACTAATTAGTTGGTGAAAAGAGTATAATAGCTTTCGAGTACTTCAATCTTTTGACCAAAAACTTTATCTTTTTCCCCCTTGTTTGGATGGATATATCATTTACTTTAGAAAAGTATCATACAATACGAATTTAGATCCGCTATGGACGTTAGTGTACAGAGTTTAAGGACCAAAGAATTTAGGTCTTTGGTTTGTGGGAGAGAGACGAAATTTTTGGTTTGTCAAGTGAGTCAGCATAACGAGTTAATAGGGAGTGTCAAATTCAATTTGAGTGGTACGTATAGTTTAGTCCTTGAATTATGAACGAGATCTAGAGAAAATCTATGTCTCATACAAGACCATGAAAATCCTCATTCTTCATACGCAAATGTAAACACAATTACAGGTATGTGCAGTGGGTTGACATAGTACCCATGTTATGTTGAAATTGTGAATCCATGTCGAGGAATTAGAGCCTTGCTTTTTAGGTTAAATGACTTTCGTCTCTTCATTCATACTCGTTAGTTTTGAGTTCGATGTTCGCATTTTTAGTATGGTATTAGAGACGGCTATTCACCTTTTGAAACATACATCAATCCATTAATCATAATATCCCACCCAGTGGATGCATATTAATAAGCAGTTATATGTGAATGAGGATCCTCTTTGTGAGGATCTTGGAGATCCACAAATCATGTCCGTTCATCGTACATCGTGCGGCCAAAAATCATTTTAAATATTTTTATTTTAAATTAAATATGAATAGTATATGACAAAAACTGCACAATATACAATGAACGGACACGATTTGAAAATTTCCAAAGGATCCTCGTAAAGAGGATCCGGAGAGAATCCTCCTCGGTTATATGTTATAAACTAGCTCACTTGATTGGGACCATTCATAGGGTATGCAGTTGCTCTAGGAGATAAAGTTATTTTGCAATTTGGCCATCCAAAACAGCAAAAATTAAAGAGAAAAGCTAGTTAGAAATCAAAACACTTTAAAGTCTCTGTCAAAATTTAAAGGAAATTATTAATAACGCTCCAAATAAGTTATTTGTATTAAACAGCATAATAAAGAAACTGTATTATAAGGAGTGTGCAATAACTATATCGGAATGCCGCTAATAGCTCTCAAATTGTAGTTTCGTTTCATTGAGTTTTCTACCTTTCCCATCCATGGAAGAAAGGCATGCATGTGGCATTTATCTCATAAGCTAACCCAATCAACTGGGGACCAAATAGGGGTAACTGCTTTCTCTAGCAGCAAAAGCAATTTTGCAAAGAGAAATGGTAAGGAGACTCTCTTAAAGTGAGATTCTTCATGAACTCGTTGTTACCTCACAATTTAACGTTAATTTACATGTCAACATTATAAAATATTATGTCAAAAATATAAGATGATAGAAAGTCCATAGAAAATCTCACTTTTAAAAGAGTCTCTTTAGCGTTTATCTATTGCAAATGTCTTTTTTTATGGATATGGATGCCCACTTCACCAAATTATACTGCTATAGATCCAAATTATAGTATATAATTGCATTTGCAGTGCTAGCACTAATGATGAGGGAAAATGTGGGACGGAAGCCACCCACTACTGTTAACCACGCACTCTCTCTCTCTCTCTCTCTCTCTCTCTCTCTCTCTATGTATATATACTTATTTGGAATCTTACTGTAAAGTAACATATAAAATCGAATGAAAATACACAAAAGCCTGACTGCCTGCTCAAGGATTAAAGAAATTGGAGTGCAAGTATTGTTAAATAACTCAACTGTCACGAAGTGTTTGTAACTTTGTATATGTTTCTTTCTTTACGTGAAACTTGTGTCTAATCTCTTTACTCGCATGATCTTTGTGTATGTTTTATCTTTCACATGTATAATGTGTTTATCTTTCTCATCATGTAATATTCGTATTTATTATTTCACCGCACGTGATATCACATGAAAAAAGAAACAGACACAAAAGTATTCAATTTGGTTCCCTCCAATACCAAAGTATTAAACCTTCGAGGGTTGGATCCAATTGAAAGAGAACCCTCCATACGTGTGTGATACTCTTAAGTTGCAGGCCGATGAACTTTTCTTAAACCCAAGGATGGATTTGAGGTTAGAGGTTCACCAGATGAAGAACAAGACAGTTAAGCCCATAGTTTGTGGCGTTGCGTTCATGGGTCTCTCAAAAAATACCAAATGACGCATTATGTAGCCCACTATGAACAGTTTGACCTTTAACAAGGTGGAGGAAACATTTCTCATGAACTTATCGACAGGTCCACGGTACGCGATCTTCAACTTATGCGGTGTGTATCAACGATTGAGAGTCGTTAATTAACAGTTCTCAAACTTTGCACGCCTAATTAGTGAATGATAAATCTACACCCTTATCATATAAATTGCGACATACACTGTAGTCTGTCGAGCTCACGTGTGTCGTTTTGAATGCCGATCCTAATAACGAGTCACGCATGCTTCGAGTTATAAGATCAGCTCACGTGTGCATGCGACGTTGACGTTAGCACTAGTCATAAATTATAAAGGAAAAGTGCCGTGTGAGCTGGGATGCATATGAGATAGGAAAATGGTGGCGTCGGCATCCAGGCTTGGATTTCCTAGAGGCGGGTCACTTCACTTGGTTGGCACTTGGGGTTTGGCTGGCTGGCCGGTAGGGGTAGTGTTGGGTTTTCAGTTTGCTACTTGGTACTTGCTGGCGACCAAAACAGTAGTTTCAATGCTTGTGTATCATTGTTTGCCACGTTCGGGGAAGTTGTTTCTGACCAATTTTGTCCCTACTTGACCTACCAGAGTAATCATTCTTCATCACCATTCACTTTCAGTCTTTCACCATTCACCTTCCTCGTCTCATCGCACCTCAAGCTACTGAGGCCATCCCTCGTGCCATTTCCGACCGAAAAGGGCTAAATCATCGTTTCGTCTATAATTTTAGTTTTACAAAAAATTATTTTTAAATAAACAGTATCAAATTATACTTATGTACTATAACACTTTTAATAATTAGTTTTAAATTTATACTCTAAATTTATTGGTTGCTTTAATTAAACTAACTTTTAATATTTCAAATCTAGCAGTTGAATTTGAATCAATTATTGCAAGCTAGACCCCAATAAAGGGCTAAGAGGGAGCTACATTTGACCAGTTTGAAACCCCCTTGGCCAAATAAGTTTGGTAGGCTTTATAAAATTATATCCTAGTTGGATATAAGTTTTTTTGACAAATCATGTCATTTTTTCGGCTTTTAGACCTTTTGGCTTGGTTATCTCAAATTTAGCGCTTCATATTGTTTTTTTTTGTTTTTTAAAGATGGACAACTGATGGCAAGCCACGGTTATTCACCCATTTCGAGGGTCGGAAAGACTCACAGGCATTTCATCCTTCCCCTGACCACAAATCTGGCTTCCACACCAACAACGGGTTTCAAACCTGAGACCTCCGGTTTTTAATTTTAAGGAAACCTTATAATCCGTCATTTACTACTAGGCTACTAACTCGTGGTTCATTTCTTCATTTGTTGATTTAGGAAATCATCTTGAAGTACAAGTAGGGCATCCCTCCTGAAATCCAAGGACATGAAATCAATGCAACATATAGCAATAAGGGCTAACAAGTGAATGAGTTCAACAACCCAGATATTGAATCCATCAAAAGGCTAAACCCCATTTACCATTTTTGGTAATTGGTGGACAGTAGTGATCGCAGGCCTTAAACTGCGAGTCACTGTGGGTTACAGAAGAACGCAGCTAAAGCTGAGCTTGTCCTTTTACAATTTACAGATGCCTGTTTTAATCTGCAATTTTGACCTCTTATAAATGCATTATCCATTTGGATACAAATTGAACTCAGTGTACTGTTTAAGTAGACAATTAAAGGTTTTACAGCTTCGTTCACTTGTAAGTAATAAGTTTCAAATTTTACTAATTTGAATCACAGAGTTCAATACCTGATTATTATAATTGACATATTACTTGACGTAATTGTATAGAAAGAAAGTAGGACCACCCTTACCCCAATACTGTTCATGATCGGTCCTCCAACCTATTAGAAAGTTCTTGGAAATGTCCCACAACTTTATGCAGGTGCAGATCCAAATTCCAATCAGGCACCAACTAGGCTCCCGGGTTCAATTACTCCGATCTTTCGTTGTCAATCGTATAGAAACACGAAAAATGGTTTTGTTTCTGTCAAATTATTTTGAGTAGCAATCTGCACTCAATATTCGATCTTGATCACGATTAAATATCCGATTAATGTTAACATGTCGAACAACCCAAATTAAAGAACTGCAACATCACCTATTTCTTCTGTTACTTAGTCTATTTGCAGTTGGCTTTTGGAAAAGGTAGCAGAGATTGCTCAACAGCTTCAACCTCCTGGCGTAATTACCTTAATAAGTATATTTTCTCATGCCTCATTGAAGTCACCTAACCATTTGATTGCCACATGGCTTTTAAATTATTGTACTCGGATTCAATAATATTATTAATTATCATTTCAATGTTCAGCAATTGGTTTAGCGGTGTAAGTCTCTAGTTGATTTGATGAGGTATCCGATTTGTAAGGACTTGAGGACGATATATATATTTATGGTGAGTTTGATTCTAAGTTGAAGTCTACCGTGACTTACGAGGTAACGGTTCATTGTGAAAGTATCTTTTGAATATCCTCAAGATTAGTGGTTAAACTGTTGATTTATAGGACAGGTTGAGGGGTTGTGTGAATTTGCAGTTAAATTAAAAGGTTGAACCGGACATGTAGGGCCGTAGCTCATTTAATCAACTGATGTAGTATTAAACAAAACAAGCCTTGTATTTCCATATATCGTTTTCTCTCATCAGTGTGGGTATTCCGTTCTCCTGTGAATATATAGTCTTCTCCCTTCTTCTTCTTGCTCAAGCTCTTCAAGCCATGGTCACAGATGTAAGTAAACATTCTGCCTGAAGGACTTATAATTCTTTCGAATTTCGAAATGTGTATTTGTTTGTTAATGCTTTTGTCAAGTTTGTTTCTTCTCTGTGTTCTTGGTACAGTGTTTGGATAGGATTATAGGACTGATGAGAACTGAACTCAGTTTGCTGTCTGCAGATGTGGTTTAGACTAGTTGGTCGGGGCAGTGCGTCCACCTCCTTGTACCTAAGTTCAAATCTCCTCCCCATAGATTATAGTAGTTTTAGATATATGGTTTGCTTCTGGCTATGGTTTTGTTCACAGGCTCACAGTTGCTGTTGTTGGATTCGGTTTTGTTGAAAAAATTATTATTTCTGGCTTTAGAAGGCAGAACTGGAGACATGCATGCTTGTTCTGTATGAGTTCAATTTCAAGGAGGAAGTAGAAGAAAATAGTGTAATTAATCAATCTTAAGACTTTAGTTTTAAAGAAATGGTGTCCAATGTTCATCTCTCAGCTTGAAGAGATCATGATTGGAGCTTATAATTTGCCAAAACTCAATGATTCCATATCTTAATTATTCTTTGTGAAGCATGATTTAGATAACATCAGGAGTCTTCTTCCTAACATGTTTATCGGAAACATTAGTGTAGCGATTTCGACGCTCATATGCACTCCAAACTGAATATTTTACGATTTTCTCTTCAATCGTAGGAGGAGTATAGGAGGCTAAAGAACGAGCTTTAAACTGCTAGCCTAAAATTATTGGATGCGTACCATGTTGATGCTAGATTAAGACTGCTTTACTTTTCCAGTAATCTAATCCTGCTTATATATTAATTAGAAATCGGTTGAGCTGCAGGCATAGAGAGCAGGTAGACCTAAACAATGCAACTACTTTATAGGTCTAATCCTTATTAATCAACTAATGGGGTTTAATTTTAATAATCACAATTAGGGATCTAATACTACTACTGATGATTCCCTCTCTTCCACCCTAATCCCTGCATTTTCATGCACAATCTTTCATTTTTTAACAAACAAAACAACTAGGATTTGAGCCTAAAACCTACATTTTTTCTGTTGCGTTTCTTTCTGTAAATCCGCGATCCACTAAACGTTGAACTGTTAAATCCCCAGGATCATGACATGCACCATGGATGGCCCCTAGGGCTTGAGATTATGAACGTGAGACTTAGAGTGATGGAGAGCTTACCAGCTGCAGTTGTAGGGCGCCGGTCCTCGCACGTGCCCTCCGCCAGTTTCACCTCCTTCTCGTCCTCCAACCTTGACACCGAGGTAATCCTAACTGACTTTCTTTCAAGTGATATGGTTTCCCACATTGCTAAATCGTTCCCTTCTCATGCAATGTGATTGTGTAATTCCCCAACTAGTCCTCAGCATCCTTCTTCCAAGACCACAGCACGTCACTAGGTCGTCTGATTGGGATTCGAACGGGTGATAGAGGACGTTTGTACTTACCAAATTCCATTCGCTTGGAAGAGCACGAGAGGATTTCGATTAAGGGTTCGCATTCTGATGTGTCTACGAGACATCGAGTGGACATGTCTCGGCGTATCTGCATACCGTTGCTGCTTTGTGCTCTGGTAAAGATCAGCAGAAGTAAGAACAAGAGCAAGTCAAAGAAGGCAAAGTTTGATGGCAGAAGCTAATTTCTACACTTCCATACGATGAGAAATAAATTTCACTTCCTTATTATCGTGCCAAATTTCTGTAGCCATTTTGTGTACTGAGTTATTCATTGCGACTCCATATTTTATCACAGTTGACATGTTGATTGAGAGTCCCCATGAATTTGAAATTGGACGAAAACATAAGAGTATAAAGTGTAATTTACTCAACAATAAACTAGACGGAAAACAAGGTTTAGCATTTCCCATTTGATAGACAAAGCAAAATATATCTTCCTTCTTATTGGATTAACAATGGAGAAAGACGAGTTGTCAAATTTCTTTAAGGGATGGAGTAGACTAATCAAAAGAAGATTTTCTGCTTATGTATCGTGAACATTCTTAACTATTTGAGTTACAAATTAAATATCATCGTCATTTGAAGTTGAAGATTTTATTTTTGAGAAGTCGATATCTTATCATAAACTAGTTTAACTAACAATTAAAGAGATTCAAACTTGAGTGCAAAAAGACAAACACACTGTCTTAACTAATTGTTTTTACGAAGTTCAAGGTTTAAAAGAAGAAAATTGTAATGTAACGAAGATTCAAACTCGGTCATAGAAGATGAGGACACTACTTACAACCGTTAGATCGAGACTGAACTTATATAATCCCTAATCACAGCCTTCTACTTACTACCCCAATCATCATATGCCACCTCCTGCGCTCATAGGAGTAGACATACACCCGAAACACACCAGAACGCTCCTCTAAGGTCCCCAAAACCTTCTTCCCACCCCTCGCAAAATCCTAAAACCCCAAAAACCATCAACCAGCCCACAATCATGTCGTCCTTCGCCGCCGCCAGGTCCGTCCTCCGCTCCTCTGCGGCTCGAACCACCGTGGCCTCGAGGCTTGCCTCCGCCCCCAGACCCAAACCAGCCTCCTCACCATTTCGCGTCCCCAAACCAACCCAAAGCCTCTCGGCTCCTCGCATTTTCAGGTAAATCGAATGCTCATCAATCCCTAAATCTCATCACTTTCAGTATTAATTGTACTTATGCATTTGAATTTTGCTTTAAAAATGTGTGATTTGTTGGTTTTGAAGGTCGCCTGTGGAGTTGAGCTGCTGCGTGGAGACGATGCTTCCGTACCACACAGCCACAGCCTCTGCATTGCTCACTTCGATGCTCTCCGTCTCTCAGCGCTCCTACGGTTGGACCCCCGAAGGTATTCCCTCTTTTCCTTTCGATTTTCCGATTGATGATTCGTGATGGGTATTTGCTGAATTGCATTATTTGTGGCATTGGACTTGGAAATTGCTTGTCTGCTCAATTACTTGTTTCTTGTTCTATTCATGTTCTTTGTTTGTGCATTGAGTTGTTCTATTTCGGATGTTGGAGCCAATTGGCAATCGTAATTGTCATAAGCAACGCTGTGAATTGAACGAACAAAACGTTTGCATTGTAGTTTTTCTGTGTATTGGTTGATGATTGCTTGTCTGTGGTCGGAAGTTCGAGTACTGTGGTTTCCTTTAATTGCAGAGTGTTTTCTCTTTTGTTCTTGAAGTAAAATCGGGGATCCTTTAGTGATTCGTTACTTGTCATCTAGCTTAGAATTCTAAGGAATGCGGGTCATTCAGCATTACTTCAAGTCTATCTTTTAACTATTTCTATTTTAATTTTTGCATAAGGTATTAAGATGCATTAAGATGTGGGCATTTTACATGCTCAAAAGTTTTAACACTGTGGCTACAATGATGGCCTAATTGTTTTAAATTATTCAACTTTCTTTTCTTTTTGTTTGTCTGAGAAGGGGGGTGATGTTAGATGATCATGGATGGAAGACTTAAAATCAGTGAGACAATCTTTTTGCCTATTTTTGTTCCAAAATTTCTTCTTTTTCTTTTGGTCCATGATCTACCTCATCTTTCTCTCTATCTCTTCCCGTCTTGCACAATGAAAGAATGCATACGCTTTTTCTTTTGTAGGGCAAGACAAGACTAGATGAGGATCAAGCATCAGATATGGAGTGACTTGGATTTATTTTTGTTGTCAACTTCTCTTCAGCAGATTAGATAAGGAGACTATCAGTCTACAATTATCTTTTTTTTGACCTCTATGTGTAAATTGGGTTTCCTCCAATATAACATTTGTATTTCTTTCACAAATGTGCTTTTTGAAAAATTTGCATTCACCGACGATGAATTAAAATTATTAAATCACTGATGTTTTTATTCTGATATGAACCATGAAAGTTTGAATGGCAATGAAAACTCTAGCTGAACTACTTCTTTGTTATTTGTTATTTGTTATTCATGTCAGCGTAGACGTATAAGGATAGAGTCAGTAATAACACTGATTTGTTGTATTCACTCAGATTGCAATGATGATGTATGATGAATATCAGAGGGTTCGAGCAAAGTTTTATGTACTTGCGCTCTATGACAAGGTGGTGAATAAAACTCTTAAATTTCTTGATGTAAAAGGAACTAAAAATTAAATATTGGTGCTTCCTAATGGGTTTTTGGTTTAAAGTCTTTTATCTATTTGTAGTGTGATGATGGTGATGAAAAATGACGACGATGATAGTGTTTCCCAATTAAATAGGTCAAGAACTGCACTTTTGTACATTTCGGTTTCACTTCAATTGATGGTTTCATTGAGTTTTTTGTATGATAACTGTATAATACATATTTACTCTTTACTAGAAGATACACTATCCTTCCTTGCTAATAATTCGTCACTTTGTCAAATTTCAAGGGTGATGGGTGTGCTAGATTCTTCTACATGCCGAAATCTGTTAATTGCATGATCATATTTTGCTTCAACTTTGATTCTAACTCATATAGACAACCCTGGACGTAGAATATTAATTGTATTCTTCCCACTGCTTTGGCCTTCTGTTTCCAAATCCTTCCGATGCTGCTTCTCTTCTTTTGACTGTAGCTGTTTCTTTGTTTAGGGCTGTGATGATTCCTCATTAGCAGACTTCAAAATTTGGCTCGGAGACTTACCACGTTGCACTTCTGTTTACCTTGCTTATGAAGTTTAAGTTGTGAACCTAATTGTTTACTTGGAAACAAATGTCTAAACTCCTACTTTTGTCCAATCATGTACTACGCCTTCGTATGAACTGCAAATTATTGGCCAAAATGGCTGCAAGTTTCTCATAGTCTTCATAAAATTTACGTTTTTCTTTTCTTTCATTGTAGATGGATGATTGTTATCTGTTGGGATGCAGTGCATCGGTCGTAGTTTTCATGGATTTCAATGGACTTTGTAGGACTTGCTTGAGACTTGAGGCATGCTTCATCCTAGTTTAATCCACAGAATCATACTTGTTCTGCAATCATTCACGAAGTAGATGCCATGATGTTGATTTACGTTGTCTTTATAATTAAATTTTCGATCTCTGAATCCCGATGATATGACGAGGTTGAGGTCAAACATTTTGATGCAATTTCCAATCTCCGGTCTTCTTGATATGTTTTGCGTTTTAGGTAAGGGATAAGCCAGTTTAACATATTCCATGTGAAGTTGTGGAGACCTCTAGGGTGGATCACGTGTAGAGCAGCCGGACCACGGAAGTTGTCCGGCTACTCTCACAAACAGAGCCCCTTGCGTTTTGGTAGTTCCATTTCAGTTTTACTGAAGTTTCTATCTCCGAATTGTTTGAAACCCTAAACAATCTTACCATGAAGCACGGTAGTTTCTATTAATTATGTCTCACCCAACGCACTGGGAGAAAGCTGACCAAGTCGTCGGACATCCTTGGTCCATGCAGGGTGAGAAGTTTGACTTCATGAAGCGGCCAAATTTCTGATTGACCTACCCGTCAATCCTTTCGAGACTTTAAATTTGGAAAGACAGATCTCAAGGGAAGTTGAAAGCAGTTTGACTACCAGTAACCAAATTCAATCAAGACTCCCAATATGAAGAACTACCACGGAGTAGCTTAGTGGTTAGTGATGAATTTTAAGTCCGTATTTCACATGACACATCTTGAATTTTATTCTTGGCGTTGGTAAATCGCACGATGGTGATAGGAGCTGAAATGTCTTTATGTGTCTTCGGTCACCTGAAATGTAGATTGTCATAACAAAGCCACCAGTTAGTCCTTAAAAAAAAAAAAAAACACGCTGAAGAAGAAAATGTGACTATTTAAATGGAAAGGGATCTCTCTGGAACTCTTCCATCAAATCCACACAATCAACTAATTCGAACCTTTAAAATTTGATTCAACGACTATAAATAGGAACTTATTGTACAAATTATAATAATTTTAACCGTTGAATTAAATTTAAAAAATCCAGATTAGTTGATTACGGAGATTTGGAAGAAGGGATTTTACAGACATAGTTACAATTTTTAATACGAATACGGATTCAGTTTTGATTAGACCGCTAAAACTAAATACAAGGACGAGAAATGCGATATCTTTTCGCATTTGCTTTACGTCGACTCCGACACTCAGTGCTGGCCGCAGAAATTAAATATTATTCCTGCAATTAATTGCCCTTAATTAATATTTAAAGTCAGTCGTCAAATTATCCATAGTATTTATTTATTTATTTATTTATACATGCTTCCAGAATCTTAATTTAAATAAATTTATATATAAAATTCTGTTTACATATGCTTCCGGCCGCCTTCCTTCTCAAGTATCTCTCCGTCTCTCTTTCTCCGTTGGTATTTTGGAGCACACAGATCAAACTTCAACAAATATTTCAGAGAGAGAGAGAGAGAACCCAAATAATAACCACCGGCTTTACAAATTAAACCTTTTCTATAATTTGAAAGAAAATATTTTATCCAGAATTAAAATTTAAAATCAATCAAAGAGCTCAGCTTTAGCACCTGATCGAATCGAACCGAGTCGAGTCGAGTCGAATCCGTCTTCAATGGACTCCGAGTTCTGGACCTCCTGCCTCGCCGCCGCCAAACGCCAGTACACGCTGCAGCACCACCACCAGAGCTCCCACTTCGGTCCGTACCCCCCTCTTCCTCCTCTGTTCTTGTTTTTCATTTCTGATCTCTATTTACTAGTTTTTCATTTTTTTTATTAATTTCCTGGAAAAATAAATATTATAGATCGGTTAAGCATCGATGATTTCGAGGTAGAAGACGAGGTCCGACCCGACTTCCCGTGCCCGTATTGCTACGAGGACTTCGACATCGCTTCCTTGTGCTCCCATCTCGAAGACGAGCACTCCTGCGAGTCTAAAACCACCGTACGTTCTTACTTATTGTCTTTTTTTCTGTTCGATTTAGTTTTTGTCGCATAAAGTTTCATGTTTTGGTTCCTCTGGAAGACAAAGTTATGATCTTTGTTTTTCGCGTCGGTCAAATGTTATTACCCAATTTGGAAATCGATGATTGACTTTTTGATTCATCAAAGGAAGCACGCAACTACATAACTGCTTAAAAATCGTACCTTTTCCTCTTATGGAAAGAAAGAACAAAGAGTATGGTTCTCTTTTTCCTGAAATGTTTGAAAGGATTCGTACCATGGTGAAACGATTTGATTTTGTTTCTTGTTTTCGGTTGATTGCATGAGGAGTAAATACAACCGAATTTCCTAGATCAGCTAAATCGGGTACATCTTGTATATGCAAGCATATGATGCATGTCTTAGCTGAAAATGGATTTCGATGGTCAAATGCGTGACATAACTGATTTTCGCCCTCCCATTTTGTCACTCTGCATCTCTATTTCTTTGATTCTTGCCTTTGCATTGATAATTCGAACGAGAATCAAGGGATATAATTAAAGCGAGGAGTGCCGAATGAGAAAACAGCGGTGCAGAAATCGTTTCCCATGATGATTTATTTGATAGACCCTTCCATAGACTGAAATGTGTAGCTAGTTTATCTTCATACAACTCAAACAAGCTGGGAAATGCATTTTCGGATTTTGTAGTATGCCTAAGGAAATAGGAAATTTATTTGAACTCTTGTTGCTCAAGCAACCACAAATATTTTGATCCCTGAAATTGATGGCAGATGATATTAACTGATTTCTGGTTTTCATCTATATTTTATTTTTATTTTCGTCGATATTTCATGCAAGAAAGATTTATGCTGTTTTTACTTTCTCGTTTTTGCAGGTTTGTCCCATTTGCTCCGTTAAAGTTGCGCGAGACATGTTAAGTCATATCACACTGGAGCATGGACACTTGTTCAAGATATCCTTTAACCTGGAATTTAGTAAATTGGTATTCCTGACAATATATCCATGTACAAAAGCTTGATCGCTCTTTTTATTCCTTGACTGAATACCACTTGCAGAGACATCGCAGATTGCGTAGAGTTGCTGTTCCTAATAGTCAGGCACTTTCTCTCCTTGGACGGGATCTTCGTGAGGCTCATCTCCAGGTGCTTCTAGGGAGCAGTGGATATCGATCAGAAAATGCCAACGTGTCTAATGCAGCAGCAACCGATCCATTCCTGTCATCACTTATTTTAAATTTCCCTGCATCAGGAGCAGATGAAATTTCAAAATCTGTGGTAACCACTAATGAGGACAGTTCCGCAAAGAATGCGGTGCCATCACATATTTGGAAATCAAGGTACCATTTCACCTTTATTACGAACTGTGTTGTAATTGACTTCTGCTGCATCTTTCAATAGCCATTTAATTTTTCAATTATGATGCATTACATAGTTCTCACCATCGCACAACTGTTTGAATGCTGATTATTACCTTGTTGCTACCTTCCAATGTATAGTGTAAATTTATTATTTCATGTACATGGTTCTTTCTTTCATGCAAAAACTCGTTGTGCGTCGTATGGGTGCATCAAAATTTTTGGTTGAAAAATCACCAACCTTGGTCCTATAGTATGGCTAAACTGTGGGGAGGGGGACTGAACTCGGGTGCATAGGGAGGAGCATATCCACTCCCACGTAAGCCGGGGTTCTCCTATTTAGGCAAGAAGAAAAACATGTTTATGAATTTACACATGATTAGTGTAACCAAATCACTCAATTTATATGCATTTCTTAGTTCACCTAAAAGTACAAACAATGATAATAAATCAGGAGTTAATGTAGTCAGATGGTGAGATGATCCGTTGATTCCCCATCTTTCCGGATAAATGCATGCGCAAGAGCCTTTAATGCTGTTCTTTGAATCTGAAATATGTCTCTCTCTCTTTTCTCCGTCTCTCTCCGTCTCTCTCTATTTTGCAGTTTTGATCCTTCCTTAAGTTATGAAGAGCGGGAGAAAAGGATTCGACAAGCTACTGGAAGGGCTGGTTTCATGCAAGATCTGTTTCTCTCAAAACTGTTAGGTGACTAATTGGAGACAGTAAGTTGTTTCTATGATAATAAAAATGATCAGTTATTCAAAATCTTGTTAAGGGGAACTTGTCAGGCGGGAGATTCCAATGGCTCAGCCTTCTTAAACAACCGTATATGTGCCTCGTATGAGCGTAGTTGTGAGTGCTTGATCAAAATAATCTGTCTATTGTCAGCACCTTTTCCTTCAGAACGCATTGCGTTCTGAAGTAATATTCGTTGTTTTTGTTAATGGAGAAGATTAATTTTGTGATAGTTTACGGCTTTGTACGTGATGAACGGGTGAATGAAGTTTTTCAGCAGATAAGTTCAATTCTGATGATCCAGGAATATTTTCACTGCATTCTGTTGTTGAATCTAATATCATTGAAAATTTGTACGTTGTATAGCAAGTTTGTGAATCTAAAATCTTTGGTGCCCCTATGTTTTTTAGGCCGGAAAATTTGTCAGACAAATCTACATAATGGTGAAACAAAGTAAGATATGATTTTCAGTCGGCTAATCTTTGTTGGTCAGATAGGTGACGTGTTTGTGGTCGATGAGATTATTGGTAGGATAGAAAAATGAATAAACCATGGCTTGATCTTGACGTGGGTTTACTACCAAACAGGATCCCCATGCAGTGACGGACTAACCTGCCATCCCATGCGCATACAACCAAACCTACTAGCAGCCCGTTTACCCGCAGTTCATGTTACCGAGGTGATATTTTTGGTGTTGTTTGCGAGTATGTACACTCGCGTCTCTCTTGTATAACGTGACAAAGAAAATAAACTCGTGAGGAACATATTGTTCTTCCTTGATGCGTGACAAAAAAAGGGAACCTGCAGCTATTTTTTCTATCCGAAACGTGGACGGGGTGAATAATTGTTTACCCTATATTCCCTTACAACAGAGCTTTAATTTAGCTTGGCTACCACAGAGAACTGGAGGACCACAACTTGGTATTGATGTCACTACAAGTATATTAGAGAATGTCTTTGTTTAGACTACCGATAATAGCTCTTTAAAATTTAAAAAGAGGAGTTTGTATCTCAAACGATTAAAAAATATGCGTGTCTGAAGTTCGATTTTATCCTCTTTAATATGTGTTGTTTAAAAATTAAAAATTAAAATAATTAATACATTAAGGCTTATCCTATAAAGAGCTTTCAGCGTGATCGGAACACAAAGTAACACACCACATG